TTGTGGTTGGAAAGCTATAGTCCAATCTCTCCAGAGTGCCAAATTTGGCAGGGAAAACAAGCTGATTTCGCATTTTTGGAGCAATAAATAAATTTTCTACATGGAAAACTCTCTCAGTGGATTCAATCACATCATTCCCTCAAACCCAGTGCAAAAAATATATTGAATTGGTGTTGTGGAAGGTACAAAGTCCATGTCTCAAGAAATTGGCCCTGTGACGCTATGTCACGGCATGTCACTGGTCATCACACTTACCAAGGATTGTGCAACACCATTACTAGCAACAAAGTGGTGAGCACTGGCAAGAACACTTGCTCCGATCATGTTGAAATGCCGAAGGTGGAGAGATTCAGGATGAGGGAAGGAAGGAAAGGAGAGTGCCCAGAGGCCAAGAGACCCCCATCCCACGAGGTGAACGGGTGTTTTGGTCTATTTTTATATACCTTCAGCACGTGCCTGCTTGGGCTATTCTCCTCATCTCGTTCCTCAGTATCCAGAGATGGCGGTTCAAATGTTCATCCCTTTCGGTGAGTGGGCTCGACTTTTTTGCCTGGCTCTGTATGGCACTTACAAAGTTCACGACAAGGGGATGAAATCTGCTGGCGCCGAAGGCGCCTAGTGCTAAGTACTTTACAGCACCCCGCATCTTCCCTGAGTTCGTACACCAACGAACATCTTTCAAGAATTTTCTGGAGATGAAGGTGCGGGATGTGCATGCTGGATGCAGGAGCCTCGGTTGACAGTCTTTCTGGTAGCAGTTCACGGCATTTTTGGCTCCGCGTGTCAAGTGTCGAATTGCACGGTGGATCAGCTTGGGCCCCTTGGTTCGCCTGACAATGAATGTCAAGTGAGTTCATATGCTTCTCTATAACGGGGGTATCCAACGACTGTTCATGCAGATGACCCTACATATTTGCTCCTTTTCCAAGTCGGAGCGTGTTCTCTTGCACACCGACATTCGCCCACCTTCCGAGATGAAGTTGGATGAAAGATGGGTGCAAACTCTCGTCTTGTTCGATGTCCACGAGCAGATATCGTGGACAACGAATCTTCGACGAGGGTGAATGTCGGGCCGAATGCATCTGCAAACCCGCTTGCTTTCTCAGGTGTCCTTTCGTCGACTTTCACCAGCTCCGAATGCGTGCTTTAAGCCTCCTCTCAATGATGTGAGAGCATGTCCGCCTCTCGCGTCGTCGTCGTCCTCCTAGAGAGGTTTCTCTACTGTTGTGGAGAAGACAATATATTCTAGCTAGCATCGCATCAGCAACCGACCTCTAGACGGCGAAGAGCAGTCCAGCAGAGTGGAAGAACAGGCTGAGGTTGGACCAGCCCAGTGCGATGGAGCAGGTTCATTCCGTGGGGTGGGGTTAACTCCTTGGTGGTCACTGTCATGGAAATGCATTGTTCCGATCGAAAACACGAGATATGCGTTGAGGGAGAGTGTTCGTTGAGTTGGGCGTGATGGGGCAGTGGCGACGTAGGCTAAAGAGCCGCCAAAGATGGAGTCGGCAGCATGAGGCGTTGCCTTCTTTGAACGTTCTTGTCTGAGGATGTCAGTTCCACCAGTCAGGTGGAAATACAATGCGACACTCACAAATACTTCCCGTGATACGAGTTTTCGCCAAAAATTTCTTGATCTCAACCACCACAAGTTCGTCGACCTCATTGCCTTTTGTACTGTTCATGCAGTCGTTTGCTGCTGCCGTCATGACGCTCTGAGTTGAAGCACTCCTCGAATGAAGGTACGTCCGGCTTTAACTTTATCCGTCATGTCTTGTTCACTTCACTGAGATCTTTCGAATAAAGGCTGCAGCCTCTCCATGGCAATTCCTACTCGGTGTTTCCGAAACACTCTTGCTTCTTGCAAACTCATAATAACTGTTACTACCATACCGACGCACTGCTGTAGAACTCCGGCTTCCTGGATCCCATGATCTGGTCCAACTGCGCGAACGACACCACCCAGCAACATCACGCCTCACCAACCTCACACCTCACCTTACATGACTTGCGGTATACCGTAACCACGGGAAGGCTGGTGACCTACTTCTAGATTCCCACTCGATCGGAGAGGCTCCGAGTTTGAAGAACACTCAAAGTGGGTTAAAGAACTCGAGAAAGAAATGGAAATGCATTCCCGTCAAGTTGGTGGTCTCAACTTGTCCATTTCGGCACTTGTTTTAAATTCATGGCCCATTACTCTTCTTCGGTCTATCGTCTCTCGTGTGTTGGGTAACAGGAAGTCCTTGCCCTCCCTCCTCGTCTAACCTCCAGCCCAAATTCTTCCCTACTACCCCCTCCCCTCCTCCTTAAGCCCTCCCCCAGAGGAGACCCCAACGCGACTTGGAAACCCGACGCAATCTATACCTCTCAACAGGTGGATGGGGAAGTTACCTCGTCCTAGTTGGCAATGGCGTGTGCCCTGTTGTGTTGAAGGTGCTTGTGAGGAGGTTGACTGGGGCTTGGATGTGGAGTTCGTGGCAAGGAGGAGCAGGAGGTAGTTTGACCTGAGAATG